CAAATTCCTTAATTAATTGATTTGAAATAATTATTATAAAAATTGTATGTCCTCACTTAATTAATCATTCAATGAAAAAGAACATTTTCTATATTATAACTGTTATTAATACTCAGTTTAACAATGCATTGGAAATCTGCAGAGTATATTGTATCTTAACTATCCCTTTAACTCAATAATTAAAAAAAAAGATCAACTGTAAGCGAATAAACCTGAATTTTATTGAACTCTTTAATCATTTTTTTTTCTCAAGTTAAACTAGATGAAAATTGACTTTCTCTTTATATTTTAAATTCGTTCTTTTCTTAAAATAATATCAATTCATTTGTATAACTAATTTTTAGGTTTATAATCCATATTAATTCTTTCTTAAAATATGTATAAACAAAATTTAAAATTTAAAAGTTTATTTAAATTTTTCATGTACAACCCTGTACTGAAGAAGTATCTTATCTCTCACAGTAATGGAACTTGGATGCACTCAACTAATTACTAGTTTAAAGGTATGGTGAAAATATTCTCTATCAATTAAAATAAATTTTTATCCTATTACAATTCATTTGTTTCTTTGATTCATGATTACTTCAACAAGAGCTGATTTAGTTTTCATTCATGTATTGATTTAGTGAATAATACTTGCTGCATCTAAACTCTGGCCCAATGGTTACAGTTGGAATAAGAATGTCTTGAATAGAAGGGGTTTTATTCTGCCAGTGAAGATTTGTCCCTGTAATTTCAGGTACAATTGTGACTTTAACATGCCTGTCTAAAGATTTTGAATTAAGTCTAAACTCCCATAAACAAAGTTAATCATATCATTTCCTTATAATTAATTAACTAATGTTGTGCACCCAGCTTTTCTTATATATTGATTGTGAGTATTAAGCTAGTTAATGATTATCATACTGACAAAATTTATAATATCACTAGCCTTACAGGGCGCTTTCATTAATATTATTAATTTAGTTGCTTTGTTTGGTGCAAAATTTATTCATTAACAAATATTTGCCTGATAGGAATTTGAATAGGTTGAGGTTATTGAATGATTGATTGACTACAGTTAGATGTCGGCTTCACAAAACCTATATCCTGGAACTACAATGCTCAGGTAGATACTATAAACTTTGTCCCTGTCTCAGTAGCTCTTCTGGAAGCAGACATAACACTGTACTGATCCTATAGTAATAATCACTGAAAATATTATTTACACTCACTATAAAAATGTTATTTTTCTTTATTTTTTTTATTTTTCTCCCTTTAGTCAACTTAACAACCCAACTATGTTGGGAACCTATACTTTTATCTTTAACATTGCAAAGTATCCAATTTTATATTATTTCCACTATTTCCATGATTGCTTTATTTGAGATAATGTTTTTTTAATTAGTATATACTTGTTAATACTTAAAGAATAACAAATTTTTTAAAATTTTTAGGTAAAAGAAAATAATATTCTGCTCTAAATATATTTCTTAATATATTATGATACATTATAGACCAGGACAATACAATATAACATCCCAACCTCTGTAATTTGCCTTAATCTTGAAATCTACATTATGTAATTGTCAAAATCATGATTTCCTTACACTTACATATGTTAAATGATTGAATTTTACTTTTGAAAATAATAATATTTTTCAAAAATGAGATAAGATTTTTCTCATAACAATTATTTGTTAACATTTTTTACAACAAAATTATAAATATTTAATTTTAATTAGATCTTTTCAGGGACAATCCTGTCCTGAAGAATGCAGTGCCTGATTTTAGATTTACTGAATGATTAATGGCTTTTATCTTCCACACATTATATCAGATCAACGATTCAAAGGTACCCTTGTAAATGAGGCATTATCATCTT